GCGACAGTCTCTAATTACATGGTCTTGCAGAAGCTGCTGAATGACATCAGGGTGGGTACTTTCCACAAAATACCTAAAATTAAAGAACAAAGAAAAGCATTTTTTATGAACTAATCAACTGAATAACTTACAGGAAGAGTGGCACAGATGCTTAAATATATAGCTATCCCAGATGCACTCTCAAGTATCCAATCTTTGGGGTGGTATTTCAAAATAAAGAAATTATGGCAATCAAAATTTTTAAAAGATGCCTCATACCAAAAGCATCACGTACTTTGCAGTTATCCATCTTGCTCAAATGTTCTCTAACATAACACGAGTGGGAAAACTCCAGCAGAACTGCCTAGAGAGAGCTCTCACATACATGTCTTATTTGTGACATGTGACACAAGTCAATTTTTTTGCAACTGAATTGAGATGAGCCTGTGAAAACACTGGATGTGGTGTTTTAAAGTCCTGCCTGCAGGACCAAAAAAGCCCAAAAGACAAAAATCCAAAACCTCCAAAACACAAACCATCTAAAAATTTAAATTAGTGCATCCTGAAATTGTTTCTCTCCCTGGAGATTCGTCAGTAATGATGCTGGTCGGAGATCACAGTTAAAATATGAGCCAAGAGAGACTTAAGTCTTAAGTGGCACGGGAGAAATCTTTTTCTCAGAAACACCTAGGAAGAGGACAAAAACCTGCTAGTAATACTAGCGTTTAGTTCTACCCAAAGCAGCGGGTTCAAAAAAGCAGCCGCACAAGCAAAGCATTATTGTCCCAGGGCTTATCTATGGCTGCCAGACCACAGAGAACTTTCCAAAAGAAATAAAAGGAGAAAGAGAAAACACAGGCAAGGCAGAGACGTAGGCTTCAGGTCTCTGCTGTCTCCTTCCTTTCACTCTCCCTACCGCAGAATCACAGGTTTGGATAAAATTGGTCAGCCCTAAACTAGCTGACCTTGCAAGGTCCCTTCCAACATTATCTTCCAGGTTTAAAACAAATCAGCCTCAACCCAGCAACAAGCACAGACCTCTTGCCAATGGATTTGCTTATCCTTCCTGAATAATGGATTACAAGTCAGAATACACAAGACTGAAAGACAGCTGTAGAAAAACTTGTCTAACCAGGCTCATGTAAATGAGGAATGAATGAAACAATTATCTGAAAACCTTAAGGATATATTGCAAGTCCAAGCAATAAAGAAATTAGAGCTAGAATATCAAGTTCGCAACCTACTTTAAAAAATGTAATGACAACCAGTAGTAGCTCAGGACAACCAAACTGAATTCGTTGACTAACGTATTAAACACTTTCAACAACTGAAAAAGTGATCTGGTATTGATAGATGCTGCACTCAGCTGGGAGCCGCAAGACTCAACAGCTACTGACACCACTCATTTATGCACAGCTGTGCATTTGGAGGACTTCCTCTGCCACACTAGTTAAGGAAGAAGACACTTACCTGTTATGTTTCAGCACCAGCTTCACCTTCCCATAGCTGACAGTACACAGCTACAAACGAACGAGAGCAGTCATTAGGGATATGCAAAAGAGCGATTCTATGTTTGGGACCAAATCCTGCAATGCCGTTGAGGTCTTTGCAGGGAAGCGTGGTATCATAAAACATTTACTTGCAATGCCATTATGCTTACGGCACAAACCTGAAAAGGTATTTTCAGAAGATGCACACACCATCTCATGCAGGAGATCGGTCACAGATACCCAGTTTTTATACCCAATTCCAATCTGCTTCCAAGACTGCAAGACCATACTTGCAGGAGAAGGTAGGCTATGTTTGATAGTGCCCGGCTATTCCAGACTGCTTCCCACATTCATAGCCTTCTTCCAGAGCAAATCTGAGGAAACTTTCCCCACGTACAATTCCTACTGGCTGGAAGCGTGCACACAGACGCCTGGATATACTTTTTTTTTCTTTAAAAGGTATAAACCCCACACAGGATGTATTGTGAAAACAGTATGTGTGCAGCAATATACTATAGAAAAAGACAAAAAATAAAACAAAGCCTCTGTTCTCTTGAAACAGCGACAGAATAGAATGAGACGGTAAAAGCAATGAATGATTAAAAAAGAAATCAATTAAGCAGAGGCAGCAGGAAAGGATCTCACTGGTAGCAGCAGATATATTTCCAAAGCCAATAAAATACTCTTACCTTGATAAACTGAATTATTCCATCTGGGACACCAGTCTTGCTCAGTTTTTGTAAATACTCTGTGATGTCGCTCGTTTGTAAGCCAACACTAACAGCAGCATACAGTGAGTAAGCAGTCAGCTTGTACTCGTGAATGTGGGTTGGTCTGCACACAGGCTCGGCAATGGCAACCAAAAAATCCTGTGCGTATTTGTAAACTGGAGAAAAGGCTTCCAGAAAAATATGGCCATCAGGAGCCTACAGAAACAAAAAGAAACACTGAAGGCACAACAGCGTTAGCTGAACAGAATCAGGAATTTCCTATAAAGCGGCCATTATGATGTAGAGACACTCCACTACTGAGGTAGCAATGCATCACAGGGTTTCAAAAAAAGCGTTTGCCCTAACAATGACGTTACAAGAAAAAGAAGAAGAAAGGAGACTCAGGAACGTACAACTTTTGTCTTCAACTTTTGTCCAGACATTGATTTGTCTGTGTCCCTTCCATGGCACTAAGAATAAACCACACCCAGATCGTTTAAGCTTTTCCAGACTGACGTGTTGGGGTATTTTTTCTTTTTTAATGCTAAACAAATTGCTTGAGCAGAGGCAAGCTTCCAGCCCCGTTCCCCTGAAACAAAACAAAACTCCTCACTCGTTTTACATAGAGTGAACAGAGAAGGAAAGATGGCACTTGTGTGTCACAGCATTCAGTAACAGATGCCCTGCAGACACTGGCAAGGCAACCACCTCTTCTCTACACGCTTGTACTACTGGCCATGTCTTGGACAGGTTTACCGATGTCCCTTTCAGGGCAGAGAAAACAAACGGTGCCAGTTACAGATGACGAGACCAGCCTGTCTTAAGGCTGTCTCATTCCAACATACAAACCCTGTTGCTGCATCACTGCAGCAACGGATCCCACTTGTGTCACTAGCCAACACCATCACTTCCACAAGACGTTTTACCTCCCTCCCAGAAACATCTGGCTTAAGGTGCTCCACTGCCCTGGCCGGTCAATGGCACGCCCACAGCAAGGGATGCCTGACAGAGAGGGGGGACCTGCGAGCAGACTGCCGGGACGGGAGCAATTCACCTGGGCTTTCCGAGGGGCTCCCAGGCAGGGGCCGGCGGCGCTCTCTCAGGCGGCCTCACGCTGCTCGCAGCCCGACCGTCCCCGCACGGGCGCTGCAGGCGCCGCACTCGCCCACCCCACCAGAACTAGAGCGTGCCTCCCTCTGACCGAGCTGCCAAGGCCAGCCCCAGGAGCAGGCTCCCTCCACCCGCGCACAAACCCTTTTTCTCGGTGTCCTCGCTGGACTCCGGAGAGCGGAGCGCGCCTTGCTAGACGGTCTGCGGCACAGTCCCGGCTTCTCTATGGGGGGAAGAACCCACAGAGCTCACGTCCCCCCGCCGGTTCCCCTCACAAACCTCACCGACAAGGGACGGATCTGCAGCAGGCAGGTCACCTGCCCGCGCCTGCGGCCCATTCTACTCTACGACAACCGCGGTTAAGAGGAACCGCTAGCTCTACGGGGAGGCGTGTGCGCCGCC